AACAGAGAGAAACAGGGGGCTATATCTAAGCTGTTGTTATTCATCATTTGGCGACATCACGTAAAACTACGTTGTGTCCGAAAGGCAAAAGAATAATGAAATCATATTAGTCTATTTTAACATATTGGAATTTGTGGAATCAAGATCAAAACATCACGCTTCATTGCAAACTATGGTATAAAATCAATCTAAAATGTGTCAACACACACCTGCAAGTTACATTATGACGTCACATCGGGTAGATATTAGTTGATCAGCCTTTTTCTAAATGTGCTAATCTGGGGTTTCCTTGTTTCATCATCCTTATTCAAGTTTTTAATCAAAATTAACTGTTCTAAAGCTCTGAAATACAATGAGCCATATGTTTAAATGGTTCTTATGATCCTTTGGCATAGCCAAAAACTTAAGATACGTTTGTAAAGGAAAAGAAAAGTAGGAAGAACTGGCCAGGTATGATAAAAAAAAAGCCAGCGCTCATGTCTAGTGGTTATTAACACCATGCAATCTGCTCCAAGCCTTATATTGGGGTTAGCTTCCAGTCCCAGCAATGCTTCCCGCAGAACTGCTACATCCCATATTCTATCGAAATAAGCAACACCCAGAGAGACTATAGCCTAAAACTTCCCTCTAGTTGCACTATGCCTTTACCTCCACTACAACCTATATATACATCACAATCGCCTTAGACAGGAGGTCTTCAACAGGGGGTCGGTTCTGCATGGGGGTCGCGAAAGTTTTTGTTGATTAGACTATCTTTTATATCGCCCCCCTGCAATTTCTTCCACCAACTGAAATGTCTTTAAATCCACATTGACATGAATTCAACACACTGTAGTAAACAGATTAATGGAGGCAGAAGATGTCTTTCAGTCATCAATGCACACATTCAGCGACACACAGGAGCTCTTTCAAGCTGGGCACCATTTCAATCACAACACCTGTCCCATCAACCAGGAATCAGAATCAGAAATACTTTAATAATCCCAGGGAGAAATTACTTTGTTAAATTACTCAATATGTTATAGAGTGACTATTGGATCAGTTTTATATAACCCAATTTCATACTATATATATAAAATTAGGGGGTCCCCGCTCCATTTCGCCATCAGTTTGGGGGTCCTTAGCCTGGAAAAGGTGAAGATCCCTGGCATAGACAACATCAATAAGCAGAAACAATAACCTGATTACTAGAGAGCTTGAAAGAGAGGTGCAGTTTAAGGAGCTGATCTTGTAACAATGTGTGGATTTTCATCTAATAAGTGCGGAATGAGCGCAGAAATCATAAGCCAGTATTGTATAGAGAGCTGCTAATGTCACACTGGTGACCATCATGGCTCGGCATCCCTCCAGACAACCTTATACATCAGAAATCAAAGGTTTCAGACATAATCTGCTCATCTGTTGACAAATACCAGCTGATTTTCTCTTGTAATCTCATGGAGACACATTTCCATGTGAGTTTCCATAAAAGAAAAATTAAACTGCCTTGTTGGGAGGGGGAAACAAAAGCAATTTTAAGCAGCTCTGATCAGATGATGTATTAAATCATTTAGGACCGTTTCCTGTAGACATTAGCTTAAAACTGGACAGGATGCCTTCAAGCACAGATGTACTGCGTCTTTAAAGTGGTTGTGCAGAAGCTCACCAGCAACTCACCATCATCATCTAGTTCAAGTTTCTCCAGCATACCTTCGAATAAGCCGTAGACCTGCGGAGGAGAAAAAAAACAACAGAAAAACAAGCAGAAGTTGGAGGTGAGGAACGCTGCAGAGGGTGAGAGAAGCTGAAGCCAAAAAACTTTGCAATAAATTGTGAGCGAGCGGCAGGCTGACGCCGACTCTCCCTCCCTGCAGGTCAAAGCAGATCAAACCGACCGACGAGAGGTAATATATAGAATAAAAAAATAAAAACAAAAGAAGACAGAACAGATTATATCCTCGATCGCTTCACAGATACGCAGAGTTCCCTAAATATAAACAGGCAAAGCAACACAACGACACACATTTATCGGCGCGTAGTAATTAAAGGAAACACACCCCCCTCCTAAACACTAGCAGTGGTACAGTCCAGATCTATTTGGTGCAGCAGGGAGAGGGAGGGGGGCGCTCAGAGAGACGTGGGTAAATTAAATTCCTACTCAACAAATCAGCTTTTGGACGTCGTTCACGGCGAGAACAACCACAGCAACCTCACCAAATGGAAGAAGCTGAAAGACGACGCGTGGATAAAAACCAGGAAGCTCCTTACTCAGAGGACACGCCCCCTTCACGCAGGGCAACCTGGCTGCCTCACCATATTAGGAAATCCTTTCCGTTGCCTAGCAGCAAGAAGCTGGGGATGCCTCGCCGAGTTTAACGCGTTCATCGCTTAAAACACCTCACTGCTTGTTCATCGTGAGATCAAATTACCTAAAGTAGGTTAATTAGACCTCCTGTAAATCATTCCAGCTCGAAATGCGCTGCGTCATTCTGGGAGATGATTGTTAATACAGGTTTTTAGCTTCTGTGTGGTGCTCAGCAGTTTAATAACAGCACAGCAGCAGCAGGATAAAAGCCTCTATCTTCCCCTGCTTTGGGATGCTCCACGCTCTCCCCCCTGCATTGCCCTATTTTGATGACTCAGCAGTTCTCCAGCCAAAATCTACCCCTGCACTTTCATAAATCAGGTGGTGCAGCACTGACATGTGGCCTGCTGGGAGACACACACCCATTCAGTCAATCACTCTTAAAACTGATCATGGCAAAAGGTGCATTTTAACATTGCATCTTTATTATTTTTGAGGTGATGAAGAGGCAGAGAAGTACAGAAGGGGATTAGAGCCACGGAAAAAATTAAAAAAGTTAACTGATTTTTTTATTTTAATTCTGTATAATATAAGAAGAAAATTAGCATTCTGATTTTAATCTCAGAATTCTCACTTTTTTCTCAGAATTCTGACTTTAATCTCTGTATTCTGACTGAATTTCTGACAGCTAACAGACATGTTACTGACTAAAACACTGTTTTAGTCTGTTTTTTTTATTTATTTTGTATATCATTTCTGCTCTTCCATTAATGAAAAAGTATCACCGGGGACCCCTCCGGCACGTAAAAAGTCACCTAATTCCGTCATTTTCCACCAATGTGTAACTGGCCCTCTAAAACAACACACATCTTTATCAGTGAAGTTGAGTGCTCCCACATCTCTTCCTTCATGGTGCCCATCTACATTAAAGAGAGATTAAAGTCAGAATTCTGAGAAAAAAGTCAGAATTCTGAGAAAAAAGTCAGAATTCTGAGAAAAAAGTCAGAATTCTAAATTCTTTCGCATATTAAACTGAAATAATATGTAAAAGTCATTTAACTTTTTTCTTTTTTCCAGTGGCCCTAATCCTCTTCCGTAGAGAAGAGCAACAAATAATCAGGCATTAGTGTCAACACTGGAGATTCAACATTGATTCACCGTTACTGACTGGAATCAGCCGTCACTGCATTCAGATGAATTTAGGCAGTTCTTCTGATAATTATTTACACTAGGTTTTTTTTCTTTAGGCAAATAAGATAAGAAATAGAATACTGACTATCAAGGTGCAAGTTTATCTAATATCTAATTTAGCCTTAGATGAGCCTACAGCGCAGGGTCACACTGCAATATGAAACTCATATGTGTTTATTGCAGCTTTGTGAGAAAATAAAGTACAAAATAGAATATATAAGAAGCAAATTGAAATGAAGAAAGTCTCTGAGGCCTTTTTACACTGCAAAACTTTAAATCCTGAGTCAGTTTTTCTTGTGGGTAAGAGAATATTGATTAAAATTATTTACGTTGAAATTAAGGCGGGAAAAAACTTAATTATCTTATCACAAGAGCATAGTATTTAATGTACCATTTTGGGGGGCAAAAATATGTATTCCATTGGTGGATTATCTCATTTAAATTTAAGGGCAAATAATCCTTTTTTAGAAGTTTGTATTTATTGTTAAGTCAGTTTTTTTTTGCAGTGTATTTGCCACCCCCTGAATAAAAGCTTAAAAACCCTAAAAAATAATAATAAAAATAAACTTTCAGGGTAAAGTAGATTTAATGCAGAGTGTTTACAATCATCTGTTTTCAGCTCCTGTTAAAGATTCACATTTGGATTTCAATCAGGACTTTAAATTATCTTAACACATGATAAACTGTTCCCCTAGCTGCATGTCAGTCAGTCAAACTGTTTTATTCCTGTAAACGTCCGCCTTTCAACAAACTATAACTTCCTTCCTTGTCCCTGTAGATAAGTCAACATGTTTTTATACTAAAATATTTAATTTAGGTGTGATCAGAACAGATAATCTCTTACCACCAGTACTTTATAGCTAATGGAAATTGTAAACACGACCTCTCATGACAATTTATCACACAATGCCAATAGTGATTAAGAAGTCCTGTTTGTCTATAGATGTCTCCCATTTGAACTGCAGCTCCTCCAGAGCTACCATGGAGGTAAAGACTGCTTATCTTAAAGCGGCATAGTCTGGATCTATGACCTAGAGAGTTTCAAACCAGTAGTTTACTCTGGTTGCTAATAACAGTCTAATGATTCAATTATCACTCCCTGTTGGCTTCCATTATCTGATTTCTGTGTTTTATTCTACTGGATGTAATGCTATACTATATGTTAAATAATATTTACAGAAATGCTTGCCTAATTGGCTTTATTTTTTTTAAGCTTCTGGTTTGTGTAGATCTTGAGCTCTATCTAAATTCAAAACACACACATTCTTGTTAAAAGGTATCCTGCCATAACATTTACTCAGTTCTGCTACATGTTGCCTTGAGGAAAACAGTGCAAACACAGGCTGGAACACGAAGGTCTCGCAAGTAATAGAGCTGCAGATTTGCATCAGCTGATTTCATCAGCAGTGTCCTTATAAGCTTTTATGACTCAGAGAAAGAGGCTCATGAGTCATAGACAGGAAGCATTTAAGGCTGATGTTGTGTATCCAAAAGAAAAACAGTTATCAGAGTAAACATCCCATGATGCATGAAGGATAATTACTGCATCTAACAAAACGCTGCTTTCTCTAGTTGCATAAGAGCTTCTGTCTGATTTAGTATTGAACTTTGGGTATCATACCGAATTACTGAAACATTGTACTTTATAAAAAAGAAAAGCATAAAAAGAGAGTTAAAGGCCACATGCTATAATTACTTTCTTGTGTTTTTCTATTTTTCAAATTTGCAGGGGAATGTATACCCATATGTTTATTATTTCTAAATAAAAAAAATACTTTGGCTTTAATAGAAAAAAAAACCCTGTAGTGTGACTCACATGGTGTGAGGTAGAGAAAGGTGGCACAGGACTGGTTGATGGGATCGGAGGTTTAGCGTAGGAAAGGCTGATGCGCTGTCCTGTGTCTGGAGGAGTGGACAGGGAGCGGCTTCGGGAACTGGACTCCAGGCGTTCTGGACTGGGGCCGCTCTGCCGCTGAGCCTCTGGGCTGAACACAGGTTGGCAGGATGCCTGGGTCGGAGTGGAGGGAGGCGTGGAGCGTCCAGAAGCTGCAGGGACAGATAAAGATCACAACTGATGAGTCATCTTATCTTTTGCTTGTTAAGATTTGGACCATTTTTTTCCCCCTTTCCTTTCAGCAAAGCTGACTGACCACATAGACATCCAGTGCAGAAGTGTTGTTTTATATTATACCTTAGATTAAGGGTAAAGTGGAGGATTTTCACGAATTTTTGAAAAGACCGAACTTCTCCACTTGGAAGAGCGTGCACAAGCCCATTTCTTCTCGTGCACACTGTTAAAAAGTTGCTATTTGCATCACTCATACAAGCTTATTTTCCAAAAGAAGATTAGCATTTTTTTCCACAATGTCAGACTCACCACCTGTAAGTGAAAATGGGGACGAGCAGTAAGGACTGCCTTACATAAACATATCACCAGAATGATTGACAATAAGGAGGACCACTTATTTTGATGATCCACCCGGAAAAAGAACATCCTCCATTAAACCTTTAAAAAAGCGCCTAAAAAATAATTTCAGCATAAAAAGGAAGAATAGAAATACTCTACATAGATTCTGCACTTAGACACAGCGATTCTAGTAGCCAACATAAAGCAATGTTGAACTGAGTCAAACGTCTGTTTTACAAAGCTGAGAGAGCGAAATTAGGATGAATGTACACCTGAAAGATCAAAGATGTGGAAACTGGGTTTTAAAGAGAACACAATGAAGCTGACTGGTTGGTTTTTTCAACTTATATTTTTTATTTCACTCTTATTTATAGAAATACTTAACCTCCAAACATTCATTTAAAAAATGCTCTAAAAATCTCCAAAACACTAATTCTATGCAATAGTATGGATTCTGCAGCTGTAATTGTTGGAGATGACCCTTATTCATCTGGCTGAACCTCTGGATCCCTGACATTGTATTCATGTCAACTAGATGTTAAATAAAAGAAAGGAGATACCTTGTCTATCTGCATATGATGTTGTTTCAAAGTTGTAAAAATATGAGAAACTATGCAGAATATTAAAGGAGAAGTTCGGTTTTTTACACTTTAAGCCCATTTCCAGTGTGACCAGGATGAAATCGAATGATCGACACCAAAAGTTTGACAATTGCTCCTGTCTCTGCTTTTTGGCTCATTTAGAATCACCCCCTGGCTGCTTTAGAATGGCTAGCATAGAGCATGTCCGATAATGTCCTTAAAACAACCTTAAACGTTCTTTTTTTAAAATATGCTACTCACCGGGTCGTCAGCGCTGTTCAATGACGTTCCAAAAAAAGTTTCGTAAAGAAAAAACGTTCCTGTAGTGTTTTATTTAGCATTTTGTAAATCCCATTGAGTTCTGTAGGAATAGTCAATATTCCGCTGCCACCGGAAACGGAAATGGGGCCTGTTTACACAGTTGTAGTCTTTTCGCTTCACTCTGTGTACTCCGACGTCGAGGTGCTAACGTCTCTGTTAAACACTTTAAAAAACTCTGAAAATGGAATACGAAAGGTGGATTCTTGATTCTCGACGTCGGAGTACACAGAGTGAAGCGAAAAGACTACAACTGTGTAAACAGGCTCCATTTCCGTTTCCGGTGGCAGCGGAATATTGACTATTCCTACAGAACTCAATGGGATTTACAAAATGCTAAATAAAACACTACAGGAACGTTTTTTCTTCACGAAACTTTTTTTGGAACGTCATTGAACAGCGCTGACGACACGGTGAGTAGCATATTTAAAAAAAAGAACGTTTAAGGTTGTTTTAAGGACATTATTGGACATGCTCTATGCTAGCCATTCTAAAGCAGCCAGGGGGTGATTCTAAATGAGCCAAAAAGCAGAGACAGGAGCAATTGTCAAACTTTTGGTGTCGTTCATTCGATTTCATCCTGGACACTACAGAAAATGGGCTTAAAGTGTAAAAAACCGAACTTCTCCTTTAATGATAAATTGCCTTTTTCCTACCAAACACAGGTTGGCTGGATGCATCAAGTCTATATGAGGCTAGTCCCCCGAGGAACAGTCTGTTTTAATTTGGCCATTCCTTCTTTGGTAGGAACAGGTTCATATAAATAAACCCAGTTTGGATCATTAAGTAAATATATCTTAATTGGGGGAGTGGCGTCTAGTGGTTAAGGCATAGAGCTTTGAATCCTGAGTTTCTGAATTCGAGCCCAACTCCCACAGACTGCCACTCTGGGTCCCTGAGCAATCACCCTTAACCCCACACTGCTCCCTGGGCGCCACACGATGGCAGCCCACTGCTCCCCAAGGGATGGGTTAAATGCAGAGAGTTCATTTCATTGCTCTGTACTTGTGACAGTGGAATTACAATAAGAAAGCTGGAAAAAAAATATTACAGTAACATGGCTTCATAGAAGAATTTTTCATTTTATAGTACAATTTATGTGCGGATCCAGAAATTTGAATTGAGAAAGCTTTCTGGAGAGGTGGCGACACGTCTTCAAATCTTGGAAACCAAGTCCAGTGGATGTTTTTTTTTACTTTACTTTACGGAATTTATGTGTTCTTCTTGCATTAATTCTTAATCAATATGCCTTGGCATAGAGTCGATCACCCAGTGGACCAACTAAGGAGTTAATACACTAGAAAATAACTTAATATGAATGATCATATTCTTTAGCAATGACCTCTGTGGCTTATCATGCTTGGGGGTGGGGGGTGTTGGGTTAGGGTTTTCCATGTGACTGTATAGGTCATGGTGAGAATATCACATCATCATCTAACGATTTTGTTTTTTAAAGTCTTAGATTGTTACAGTTTTATTACACAAAATAATGAAACTGTAATTAAAAATATAATTAGTTTCCACTTTGAACTGAATTACTGACTTTAACAAACCTTATGTGGAACTTTAACTTACTGAGGTACACCTGAGCACAGGTAAGAGTTAAAAAAAAACTACATATTGTTATTGGAGGAAAGGAATAAGGATGATTTGAAAGGAGATTTGTTCTTAGTGGAGTATCTTGAAAGCCATTTAGGACAGAACCACTGTGATATGGTAATTGTATTATTACCTCCGCCATGGAGGTTATGTTTTTATCTGCTCTGGTTTGTGTCCTCATCTCTCTCTTTTCAAAACAACTTATAGTTATGGACAGATTTTGCTGAAACTTTTAGAGCAGGTGTGTATTATGACTGGCAACAAATGATTATATTTGGTGATGATCCGGATCACCAGCTGGATCCAGGAATTTTGGGAACGTTTCTGTGAATACTGGTATTAATTTAAGGTGGAAGTGACAATACATCAGAGGTTAAATCTACTTGGTGGAGATCTGCGCTCTCAGCGTGCCTTTCAACTTATTTTTTTAGGATTGTGGGGTTTTTTCCCCTCATGTTTTTAGGTTTTTATTAACTGTAGGGTTTTCAAAGGTATCAATAATCATAAGCTGTATCTGGATACAAAACAAAGCGGGCATAGTATCAATACTAAATAAAACTGTTGTTTGCATATATTTTGCTATTGTTAATTTTTAGATTTCTAGATTATATGAACATTAAAAGAAAAAATATGTCAAATTGTGTTATATCTGTGTTATTTATTTTACATTTGTTTGCACATTTTTTTTCCTAATAGAATCTGTGATTCTATTGAGAAAGCATATTCCATGTTAAGATTAAATGAAGGGTAATTTTTCATGCTGATATTTGCTTTTTGAATTTAAAAATTTTAGTATAGTGACAACTCTAAATAACTTAGTAAAAGTAATCAAAAGAAAGGAACAATTGTTTGAGTAAACTATATTTATTCTAAATGAATAAAAAACTGATTGTGAAAAAAAGCTTCTTAATCCTGAGCAAAATTCAAGCCTGAAAAATCTGCCAGTCACCACTAGTAGGCGCACCTGAGCTACAGAACAAAAAAAAAAGAATTCAGCAGTTAAATGTCCCAACATTCTTATTCTCTGTGCTACGGTTAGGCTATTTCCTACAAATGATTATCAAAAATAATTATTTTGTCTAATTTAACTTCATGCAAACATTTTATTTTATTTATATGTAAAAAAAATTGTTATACTTTACTCATGGAACAAATATCTTTATCTTATTTCACATACCTCAAGCAGATTTGGCAAAAATAGGCATAATCAAATAAAACCTTTTCTTTATAAATCTATCATTTTAATCAGAGTCAAAATATTGTTTGTTTATGAAAACACTTTTTATAACAGCTGTGGTTATTTCCTGAGTGAGTTGCCCTTTATTGGGGATTATTCAGCATCAAACTGCAGTAGCTTTAAAAACAACTTGCATCCTCCTGGTTGTTCTCATGAATAACGTGCAGTCCCAGCATCAGCTCCTACATAAATCTAAAAGCTGATCAATATTATACCACATGAATATATATCACTTTTATGAGACATCCGCCTTGAAATCCAGTGGAACGGTCAACTGTGATGCAGCTGCTCCGTCTGCAGCGTCACATCGGTGGATGTTCATCACATGACAGCCTGCATGCTCCTTAACGTCACACATCGTAAGCTTGCGTGGGGTGACATGAGACCCTGACGTTGGTACGGGTGCTCCCCTGTGACATATTTCTGAGGCCTAACAATAAGCAGCGTAAGCGATGTGGGCTAAATGGCTCACATTACCAACTATTCCTATGAGGCTTGCAGCAGACTTTCAGCAGATTGAGAAAAGCAGGAGACTTTAAATCAAGATTTGAATATAACAAATATAAATCTTCTAACAATTAAATGTTAGTGAGTTAGGCTGCTTTCTCCACCAATATCTCCAGCTACTATAAAGCTTTAATGTTCTTTACATACAAACAAGAACAATATAACTCATGAGTCCCTGATTATTTCCCCTTTAACACCCTCGCTTGACATTTAGTTGGCGTTCAGCAGGCCTCTTTGGTGTGTCCAGCTTCCGCTGTGCAGCCGTCTTTTTTTAGCCACGCTGCTGAGGCACATTCCACAGGAGCAGATAACAGCTCTCATCTGTCTAGGCAATAGAGGACAGCTAGGCACCAGCCAGGAAGTGAGACATGGATGCATTGCTGCAAAGGACTCATCC